GCTTGCTCCCTTGCTAGTCCCTCGGCTTCCTCTCTTTTTGCTTGTTCGTTTCGTATTTCTGCTTCCAGCTTATCAGTGCGTTTTTTCTCTTTCTCTAGCAGCTGGTTTAATTCTGGCTCCTTAATATCTCGTCGTCGTTGCTCTTCCTCCCGTCGCTCGATCAGGTGTTGCATCTGCTCATTTTCATTGCTGATTTGAGCAAACTTCTCATCGGACGTGCTTTGTTGTTCTTTGATTTTATTTTTGTTCATTTCTTTATTTTGTTGAGAAGTTGCTTGTAACGTTATGATTTCTTCTTTTGCTTTGAGAACCTCTTCTTTTTGTAGCTCTATATCATGCTCCATCACTGAAAATAAAAAAATCAGTATTGCAGAACTATTTCTGTTTCTACGACATGCGCAGACCAAACTTATAATTCTGTCTCCTAACACAGAACTCTCAAAGGTTCTGCCTGTTAATACTAAACCAAAAAGGTTCTTTGATCAAAAATCTCAACCAGTAGGGTTTTGTCCTATGTTCCTAAGCTATGAAATGTTTCATATCTATAAGTAACAAACCCTCGAGATCCTACTCACTACTACCGAAACTATATAAAGTTCTGCTCGATGATAAATGAACATATATAGTTCTCTGCCCATATATTAAGAGCCAAAAGGGTTCGGCCTGTCAGATTTGTATCTTCTATGGTTCTGCCAAAAAAAATACCGAGCCATGGAAGACTTCCTGTCCAAAAATTCTAATCAGATGTAGTTCTGCTCAATGCATCTTGAAGGTTGATGTGTGAGTGTGGGTGTGGGCGTGTGAGTGGGTGTGCTTATGGATGTGTATGAGAAAGAAAAGCAATACTCACACTCACGTCCACACCCTTATGTTGACATCTTATATTCCTTAATTTTTATTCACAGTTAATTGTTACAATAGTTTTTTCGCTTGGTTAAGCTTAATTTGGACGTTTCATAGAAGTCTATTCAATTTTCAATATTGATAAATATGAATACAAGAACATTAAGGCATGCATACAGTATAAACACCCTCAAAGTCTTGTAGGTATGATAGTTTCCAGTTTTTACTCAATTGAACGAATACTGATAAGATCTTTTGACTTACCTGAAGTTCCTACATGAACATTTTTAGAAAATACAATACCGCTGCCAAACGGAAAATCCCGTGGAACTTTACGCAATTTTCTCACTATTCTGGTCACGTTCGTCATCTGAAGTTGATCTGGATCATAAGTGGGTTCTACTAGATCATCAGAATCAAGATCTATATTGATTTTCGTTGACTCGTTTTGGTCGCCTTGAGTCCATGCTTTAGCCATGTTGCCTGTAAATATTCTGTTAGCAAGAACGTAGAAGACTACTTGCAACCTTTTAAACCCTAGAAAAAGATAGTTTATACAACTGAAGAAGTATTTTGTGAAGTACTCTTCCAAAGAAGTTCATATCTTTCTTAGTGATTTATACATTAGCAGCGTATATACTTCTCTTATAAGAATGTCTATTTCTCAAAGCTTATATTTCAACTTTGATATCTCTGTAAAAAATGAGCAGATAACCTAAGATATCACGACTTGACAGGTAAATGTTTTATTTCTTCAATAAAAAGAGGATTTTTTGGAAAAAAAATAAGAAATAGCGAGGCTGTGGGTGTGATATAATGTCAATATTTACATCCATCCGCCAAAATCCTTCACCAACACACTCTCTGTAACAGCATACTTTGCAAAAAAATGGTATTAGACTGAACCGTTGAAGATGCAAGAGTTGACTACCATATTCAGAATTCCTTCTATCGAACAAAATACGACTCTTTTTCGAACTTCTTTTTTTCTGCTTCAAAAAATGGTTCTAGCTGACTCTCCAACAGTCTGGGCAACATATTTAGTCTATCTCCGCTGGCTTGATCGAAGTCTTAATCTGCAAATCTCACAAGTGGAAGGTGTTGTACATCTAATCTCTTATTCCTATACATAGACCTTCACTTCTATGCTTAGTATCTTATCTCGTGGGTGTGGATGGGGGTAGATTGGTGTGATTGTGAGAGTAATAGAAGCAAACACCCTCACACACTAAGTTCGAGGGATTTGACGCGATTCGGGATATAATTGTGTTTGTGAGTGCAAACATCAGTAAAAATGAGAGCTTATATCTTAAAAATCTTTACTATTTTTCTCTTCCAACATCCATTTCCAGAGCAAAGTGAAGGTCGTCCTACCCTTATACTAACATGCACACTCTTACATGCAAAAACGTCCGTCACCGGGTACTTAGATATATATCTACTTTCAGTACCAGAGTTCTGTGGATATATTTTCAAACGATGACATTGACACCGATGGTTTGACTGAACACCTATCACTACAATCTAACTGCACAACTTATTGAGGATTTGTGAAAAAGCATCGTAGTTAGAAAAAAATCGATGTCTTGCTTTGCTCCATAAGTGAAATTCTTTTTTACCTTTCAGTAGCAAGCACAACGTATGGCTGAAGTTGCATGTTGTGCTTTTACGCGTTCTTCAGAAAAAAAAGCGACGAGCGTATGTCTTTTTGCTCGGTGTTTCTTCAGAAGCTTTTGTTTACGCATTACTTTACTGCTTTAGTGGTAAAAAAACCAGCAAGTTTGGCTGGCGCAAGGAGTCGTAGTTATTACAATCGCCAGAGAAAAAGTACATTATTTTGTTGCTTAAGATATTAAAGTTAAAGTAAGAATGTCTATTTCAAAAATGCACATGCTGAACTAGCGTCAAATAAAATTCTCACTATTTCAATCGGATGTGTGATGGTGTAGGTGTGGGCGACGGTAGATAAGGGTGGGTGAATAAGAGTGCGTATATTTCATTTCGTTAACCCACACTCTCAATCAATTATTTATCAGAATGAATAATCAAAGGTTATATTTATTACTATACATATCTCTTAATTCTTATCAAAACTAAAATAAAAGTAAATCATAAAAATGAAGACTTTCAGATCTTTTTTTACTGAACTATCTTTGTTTCTCACCAAGAATTTACTGTTGATACTAGATTACTTATTATATATTGATAACAACCGTTACATGCACGTTTAAGTAATTCTTTGCTGATTGCCATTTGTTGTGAATATGCTTTACATACAAGTACTTACTTCATGACTTGCTATCCATAATTTTCTCAATGATACAGTTGATGACGAAACTAATATAGCTGGTTGTAATGGTGTTACTTTTGTTGTTTCATTAGATTGTTCATTTGAATTTAATCAATTAAACAATGATATTGATGAATAATCAAAGAAAGATGAAGATGTTTGTTGTTGTTGAGATTTTATTGAAGTTGAAATTGACATTGGTCGAGTATTGAGTAAAAGGTGATGATAAATGTTGATCAGGATCCTGAACACTTGGCGTTTGATTTGTAAATTAGATGTCTTTAATCTTGAATTTTCCATTTGCTTATTCTCGGAGGCCGTTGTATCATCAGTTCATTGTACAACATTTAGCTGTACACTTCTTTTTTTTTGTATAAAATTCAATAAGTTGGTCAATTTGAGAGTATGGGTGTGAGGGTGTACGGGCATTTTCTTCACTCTCGATCCACACCCACACCCTAGTGCTCATTTGATGGTTGGTTCAATCCGTGAATATCTTTTTTTTCTAAATTATTTGTTTCAAAATTGACTTCAACTGATATAATTCATAACACAGCTTTCCGAAAAAACATAAAGAGTGTTTTTACATTCCTGATTATTCGATAGTTCAAAGAACATCTATCCATTTCATGTATTATTAATAAATATATTATGTGCAAGAATTCAGTGTAACAGTTATACAATACAAATAATTCTATATAATTAACAAGAAAAAATGATACATCGTACCTTGTGTACGGCAGATGTCACAACATATCATATGACTAACTATTTCTATCAATTGAAAAACATTATTGAAATCAATTACTCATTATCAACTAATTATATATAACAATCAAAAAAAAATGCTTCGATTAAAAATAAATAAAATATATAAATCAATGACATCTATAACCAATGACAAATAAGTAGACATTTTTTGTGGCATACGAGAGACATCGGCGATTTATCTGTTCTTTTTTTTTGCTATGTATTGAAGTAAATCACGTTGGTTCATTTATTTAACTCGTAAAATAAGTTATGGTTCAACATTGTGTTAATGCAGCTAGTACCGATTTTGGCTCTTATAATTCTCAAAAACCACGTGATGCTGCTGATGTTGTTGGCCGGTAAAGTATTTCATTTATTTATTCTAGTTTGAATTAAAACTATTATTTCTTTTTAAGTAAATCTCCATTAACAAGTACAAATTCTCTTCATCATCATATACGTACATTAGGTTCAATGCAATCTGGTTCAGTTGATTTCGTTTCTAATGTTTTACCTACAACAACACATTCATCTGATGCTACATTATTATATAAAACAAATACAAATGCTTCATCATCATCATCATCCGGTTATGAATCTGTTTTATCTCAATCATCGAAATCTCATCGATCATTTATTTCTCGTTTAAAACGTTTAATTAGTTTTTCTTCAACAAAAAAATCTACTAATTCTCATGAACAAAATTTTAATCATTCAAATTCACCAATAATCTCATTTAAAAATTCTCAATCATCATCAACAATGAACAATAATATGATAAATTCAAATGAAAATCGAAGAAATTCTTTAACACGTTTAGATATTCGAAGAAAATCAGCTAGACGAACATTAGCACCTGCAACACAACATGTTCCATTTTTATATGGTCTAAAAAATTGTGGAAATACATGGTAATAATTCTTACGATTCATTTTTTATTATTATTGACCTTCTTATTTAATTAGAAATCTATCCTTGTATCTTATTATAAAATACAAAATAAGATATTCTAACATCAGAAAGTTGAGGTTAAGAACATAATTGACTAGATTCATGATATTACATTTTGAAATAGAATACTCGAGAAATAAGAAACTGAAAAAAAATATATATACAGTAATCTTTTATTCTACTTTCTAAATTATGTTTATATATAGTACGTCAAATTAAGGACAGGATGAAGCATGAATTAATGTTGAACAGGCATGAAATGAAAATGAATCTTATTAATACTCTTTTGAGAATATGATAGACAATCAATGTCAACATGCGTCTAAGTTATTTACGCACGAAAGAAGTGATGACATTTAATTAAATTTCTTTATGTCACACTCTCAGATCAAAAGTTTTACTAAGAGTTAATTTCTTAAGCTCGTTAAAATACGATATTTATTTTTATAGTTTTATAAATGCTATTGTTCAATGTTTATGTCATACGGAACAATTAGCTTTATATATCCTTCGAAAAGGTTATGAAATTGATATGCGTAATATAAAAAATGCTATTCATGATTATCAACATTCATCATCTCCTCAACCGCTTGGCTTTAAAGTAACAAAATCATTTGTACAAATATTTCAAGCTTTATGGAATAATTCTTCGAATACAACATCAAAATTATCCTATGATTTTAAATCTATTATTGGTAATCTTAATCGACAATATTCTGGTAATGAACAAAATGATGCTCAAGAATTTTTATTATTTCTTATAAATACAATTCATGATGAATTAAATTTAGTTTCTAATGGAAGAATACGACAACAAACTAAAGTAAATTCATTTTCTTCAACAACGATTTCTTCATCATTAGCATCAGCACATCGTGCATGGTTAGATTATACAGATGCAAATCAAAGTATCATAACATCAACATTTAGTGCACAATTACATTCAACATTACGTTGTAATCAATGTAAACAAGAGAGTAAAACATTTGAACCCTATTTATTATTATCATTACCAATACCACAAAAAATTATTAAATCGGTTTTTATAACTGTTGTCTTTCTTAATCAATCACCAAAGCAATTACAAATTGGTTTATGTTTACCAGTTACAAATACCGTTAGAGATGTTCGAGAAGCTATTGCTCAACAATCTAATCTTGATCCAAATGATGTAAATATTATTTTCTAACTTTAGTGTAACATATCTGAGTCTTACTGTGATTTTTCGAAATTCTGTTTAAGTTAATAATACAAACTATTAATATTGTTTTTTAATAGCTTGCTCTTGTTGAAATACAACCACACAATGGTTTTTCTCAAGTCTTTCATGATACGGAACCAATGTCTCGATTAACACATGATGTTTATGCTATTCAATTTCCTTCGTCAACAACAGAAAATAATGAACATGTCATACCAACTACAGAATCATTGAATCAATCGTTATCGCCAAATAATTCTTTTGTTAATATATTAGTACTCAATCGTGTACAATTAAATTCTGGTCATGAAGAACGATTTGGTGCACCGATTGGTAATATCTTTTTTTTGTGTTCTCGAATTAATTAAAATGATTTGTTTTTGTTTAGCTATTCGTGTTCCACGTGAATCAAATTATCGTGCATTACAATTATCTATAATAAAAGCTCAACGATCAATAATATGTGACGAAGCAATGGAATATGCACAAGAATTTGTAGTTTTTCAATTATCACTTGTTGATCAATATCAATCAACAAGTAATGGAATAGTAAAACAAGAATATCCAATTCCTCATGATGTACAATGGCCACTTTATCTTGAAAAAATTGTTGAAATTCTTGATGCATATGATGGTCCAGGTCTTGGACCATCACATATTCAAGTTTATGCTAATTGGCATGAGAAATATTTAGGACAATTTATATCCAAATGGGGTTGTAATGATGATAAACCTGATATTCATCAGTCAGTTACTCAAGCTCGTGCACTATTACATCAACCTTCATCATCATTAATATCTTTAGCTGATTGCTTTTCATTATTTACCCAATCAGAAAGTTTAAATCATGTATGTTTTTATTCTTTTTAAAACAAACAAAGAACATGTGTTGTTTTTAGGATGATGCATGGATGTGTACAAATTGTCGTCGAAAAGAGAATGGAACAGTTAAAAATTTAAAAATTTCAACATTACCAACAGTGTTAATTATACATTTAAAGCGTTTTTGTCAAACAAAAATGTCAAATTCAAAACTAGTTTATCCTGTACAATTTCCACTTGTTGGTCTTGATGTTAGACGATTTCTATCAACGAAAAGAAATAATGATGGTGATAGTGGAGCTGAAGATGATCAACAAGATGTTCCTGATCAAAATCAACAAGAACAATATGGACTTTATGATATTTTTGCTGTTTGTAATCATCGTGGAAGTATGTCAAATGGACATTATACAGGTAAGCAAACTATCAATATTTCCACATCTATATTATACATGTTTGATTTTTTTCAGCTTATTGTAAAAACCCTGTAACAGGAAAATGGTTCTGTTATGATGATCATCTTGTATCTGAATTAGATCCATCTCGTGTATGTACTCCGGATGCTTATATATTATTTTATCGTCGTCGTGATACCCTACCATCTCCCACACTGGAATCAATACCTAGATCACCTTCTTCTCTGCCATCATCACAAGAAAAACAACAGTCCGTAGATTTAATAGTAAATGATTTTGATGAACGATTAAATCTTGATTATTCATCGGATCATCCATCATTTCCAAGAGAAGATAGTTTGAATTGTTCATCATCGAAAGATAAACAACATCATTATAATCTTCAAACACCATTACCATTACCACGAAAATTTTTAACACCATTACCACCATCATTATCACAAGACGAATTTTCTTTAGTAGAACCAATACCTTATCCAATGCCTCGAATGCGTAAACCACAATATGAACTCGAAATAGCTCCATCACCATCAATCCCCGACAGACGACAACCAATAATACCAACTGTTAATTATGTTTATCCAATATCATCGACACCCTCACATCATATTATAGAACCATTGAGTGATTTTTATTCACCAATACAACGACATAATTATACAGAAAGAACAAATCCATGGAATCGTTATAATAATCAACGATATTCTGATGATGAACAAGAACGTAATGTTGTTTATCCTCAAACAAGATTACGATAATTATCCATGAAAATTTTTCCATTTTTTACAAAAAACGAAACAATAGGACATTATTTATTTATTTTCTTCTTCTTTTAAATGTACAAAACAGTAAATCAAAATGATTATATAGATATTTATATTTTTCTTTGTGTCCATATTTTACAATGAGAAAACAAAATATAAAATTTTCTTCTTTGATCCGAGCCTTGTCTGTTGTTTGTTGTACAGCATACATATATATACATTTCTCCGTTAGATTTTTTTTTTCTTCTTTAAAATTTTATTGTTAAACTATATAGATTTTATTTAATTAGTATTCCCGCACACTTCTCAATTGTTTTTTTCTTTTTCTTTTTTGGGACAGGTGTTTGTTGCATGTATATAAATATTTATTTAAAGAATGTCTTGACGTGTGCTTTTCTTCTTCTTTGTGAAGTGTATTTATATTTGTCAACATATTGGCACAAAAATAATATATAAAAAGAAATCATCATTTGAAAGTGAAAATTACATCATTGATAAAGATTATAGAATTAAGTAATTCTCGTTATCGATCGTATAGAATAAAATACGTTCTAGATAAATAAATCGTGCACAATGAGTTTAATCTTGAAATTTAAATAGAGAATAAAATGACGCAGATTGTTAATGAGATTGATGTAAAAAAAAAAAGACATGATAAATATGCTCAATTACATTCAACATTTCAAATGTAGCGTAGATTAATTGATGTTACATCTTTATATGATGATAATGCGATATACTTTTGCATGTTAGATATAGTTAACGTATATCTCTATATATATTGTTCTATATAAAACAAACGATCTGAAGAAAAATATTATTTCATTAAATATCTGTACCTCAAAAGGTTATTGGAGACATAGAGTATTTATAATGTTATTGAGCAGTATTCTGTTGACCATCCAAACACAAATGAATCGTTATTACTATCCAATAGCTATAGTAATTGGTTTATTGGGATGTTCACTTAATATTTTACTCTTCTCAAGAAAACAATTTCGAAATGTTTCCTGTTGTATATGTAAGTATACTTTATAGCTGACTTAAAAAATAAATAAAATAGTCAGACTTTGTTTATAATTTGTTTTTTCTTTGACCATAGATTTCCTTACAGCATCTATAGCAATGACTGTCTCACTCTTATTTGGATTGTTACCGAATATTTATTCTGGTTATTATGTAAATCTGATTACAACCTTATGTTCAATTTGTAAAATACGATTTTATATAACTCAATCTTCTACAATGACATATCGCTGGTTTTTGACTATAGCTTGTATTGATCGATATGCTCAATCATCCGTTAATGTTCGTTTACGAGCATTTGCTAAATCACACATTGCTTATCGTATTGTTATCTGTGTTACAATTATTCTCGGTAATCTTACTCCACCATTGATTATGGTTATATGTACTATACTTATTGGTCATAATCTTGCATTTAAAAGAGAACGTCGCCGAAAAATAATCAGTCTCAAATTGAAGATGAATCAGTTCGTATACTTCAAGCACGTGATTATCAAGCAATTGCCATGCTATTTATTCAAGTTATTTTCTATATTACCTCAACATTACCATGGATAGTCTTCACAGTATATAGTGCTTTTACATTGAACGTATACAATAAGTCAAACGATCGTCAAGTTATCGAAGGATTTCTCGGATATATAAGTGAAATGATCCTTAATATATTTCCAATGATGTCATTCTATCTCTATACATTAACATCGAAAATGTTTCGACAACAGTTTATAAAAACCGATGTTGGAGTCATCCTCAACGTATCGAACCAATTAATCAATAAACCTGAATAAAATATTTATTAATTTTTTAATCGAAAAATAAATTGAGAACGTCCTTTTATATCAATTAGATATATTCGATCAATTTCAAATTGATTTGTATCAATTGTCCAATTCTTCATAAAACGATCATTAACTTTATTAAAATCATCTTTATGTAATATTCCTAAAGTTAATGTACCATCATATTTACTATCATCAAGTATATTTAATTGATGAATTGGTTCTATATTTGTTGGTTTTAAATAAACACGTGAAGTTGTTTCATCATAGTTAATTGAATCTTGAGTAAAATTAATTGTAAATTTCAATGTTGATTCAAGTTTTGAACGTAAATCAGTATTAACAGGGCCAGCTTCATATTCGGCAAGAATAAGTCGAAATGGTTTTAATGGTTGAAATGATGTATGTTCAAATAAACGTAGGAGAAATGAAGAAAATTCATTTGTTGGAATAATACATAGATAATTTATTACCGATGGTTTATTTGATATTGCAAGAGGAATAGATTCTTCTTGAGATAATAATAAAATTTCTCGTTTAATTGTAAATAAATTATCTAGATGATTTTCTCGGCTAATCATATAAATACGATCGACAGTAAATTCAATTGTTGTCCATTTGTTCTTTACATCAATTAATGTATTCGATATTTCCGATGCTGTCGTTTGACCAAGTGTAAGATGTGCTTCAAATGCACGTTTTGTTTTAATTATATTTGATAATTGATTTTGAATTGATTTTTGAAGTTCTACAATATCAGTAGACGTTGTTGGTCGTAAATGATATGTACATAGTTCACCTCGTTGTTTAAAATATTCGAATGATGATTGATTGAATTGAATTTGAAATGGTTTTCTTCGATTACAAATTAATTCTAATTGTACTTTAATATTATCAAAATTATTCTCAGGTACAAATGGATAAATTAAATTAATATGTGGCATCCAACGTGGATAGGCCTTATCATGTATTGAACGAATAGTTTGAATTTGTTCCCAAACATTCTCGGGTGGTATTATACATAATGCTGTTTCAACCGTCGTTGTTGTTGCTGTACTTGCCATTTTATTGGTTATTATCTTACCTTGAAGAAATCAACAAGCTATATTTATATATCCTGTCGATAATGTTATGAAACATTAAACACATGATGAAATGTGTGTCATTACGTCATCTTGTTGACAATACATGATGAAATTTAACAAAATCAATATCAATTAAGTGAAGTTAAATGGAATACTAAATATTGACATTTCATTTATTTTTTATTGTTATGTACAAAAAAAAGTTTTTTTTCTTTAATATCCTTGAACATGGATATTATTCGACTTTGTTTCATCACTTAATAAATAGTGTCCAGTTACTTGCTGATGAATGAAACCTACTTAAAATTTTTACTTTTAATAGAGAAAGAAAGCAGGAAAAAAAAAAGTTCCATTCTGTTTTTTTTGCTTCTCGTTTCTATTGAATGAAGCATATTCTGTAACTGCAACATTGGTCGGTATGCGTCGCTCATTTTCTATCGTTGAGTCGTTCACATACAACCACCAGAATAAAGTCAAAACACGTCAAACCAAGACATTTTTCTCTTCTTCCTCTTCTAACCAACAGTAGTTAAGTATGATGAAAAAAAACGAAGGGGAAAGTGGTACAACATCAATCGATTTTATTTTGACTTGTTTAGATCATGACAAATTCAAACGTAGTATCAATTACCAATCAAGAATATCCAATACGTGAACCACAAAATGCTCAAGAATTTGTTAATCTAGTAAATATTTATTTTCTTTTAATATTCATTATTGATTCTCCTTTTATTCCTTAGATTCAAAATACTATTTGTCAAATTCAAGATAAATTCGGACAAATGAGTGATTCAATTATGACCAAAAGTAACAATAAATTCACGTATTTTTTTTTATTTTTTTTCCTTTTCTTCTAGTTGATGATATGGGTAAACGAATCGATGATTTAGAACGTAATATTGCACATATTATTTCTCAAACAAATGCTGAATTACCATAATTTTTTGCTTTTTAACTAAATTTTTTTTTGACGTTGTTTGTGTTGTTATTTTTTGATAGTAGTAATTACTTTAATATTGGAACGTTTTTTTTCCGTATATCTCTTAATCGAATAAAAAAATTCGGTTTGTAGACACTATATATATATAAATAAATATAAAAAGCAAAAGAAGACTTAAAAAATAGAATTTATAAGCATTCGTTAGTTTTTTTACGCAATCTATGAGACTCCCAATGTACCTGAACATAATTATACACAAACAAACAAAACAAAAATGAGAATAAAATAGTAGATTCGATGAAGGAAATTATCTCAAATACAAACACGTACAATATAACACCGAGAAGTAAAGCAGTCCCAATACCCATTGCAGTACGAAATCTTCCTATCTTCTTCTTCCATTCTATTTATCCAATCTTGGTAATGAACGTGGTGCTGCATTTCGACTAATTGGACCTTTCTTTGGATCAAGACGTTTGTCCATAGGATTATTACTAAATAGAATAGAATAAAATATATATGTATTAAAATCCTATTAAGAATCATACTCAATTGGTTCTCGATAAGATACATGTCCACTTCGATCTGTTTTATTATAATCCGCTGCATGTGATCGTTCTTTTATAACTGATATTGCATCTATTTTAAAAATATAAATCATTGTTAGATATTCATTTCTAATAATCATACTTCGAACATCAGTTATTTCATTTGTTAAAAGTTTTCGTTCATCATTTGCTTTATGATAAGCCTTGAAAAAGAAAATAGTAAATATTATTTTGAATATGAATGAATAACCTTATTTTCTTGTTCTAATCGCCATTCAAAATCACGTAATTGACTTAATAAACTTTTTTTTTCATTTTCTACACTAAGAAGTGCTTCTGGACCGACCTTGAAAACAACAACGTAGACATTAAATTATTTTAAAAAACGAATAATAATATTTACTTCATTCGGATTTACTTTCAACGCACGTGTTTTTGCTAAAAATAAGAAATTTTTTTTTTAGAAATTTTATCTCGAAAATCTCTTATTTACCTACCGCCTTTAAGTTCTTCTTTTGCTTGTTGAATATTTTTATCAAGTAAAACAATTTGTCTTGTTAAATGACGATTAATTTCTTCTTGATTTTCAAAACGAGTTTTCCATTCATTACCTTATTATATAAAAAAAAATATTAAAATTCAACTGAAATCAATTAAAAGCAAAAAAACATTTCCACTTTAATAAATATATTTTTTGTTAGATAACAATAACACGCTTAGATTTTGATTATGCTAGTGTCTTAAATAATTACAAATACCTTCTACTGATCCACCTACATCAGCATGAGTATTCACTATATGAAATTTTTATTAAAAAGAACAAAAAAACTTTCATTCAACATACTTTCTTCATCAATCATTTTTAATCGTTTTTCTAATTCAACAGCAGTACTTTGTAATTCTTGACAGGATTGTTCAAGTGTTGATCTATAGTTTAAATAAAAATAGATGATTATTATTATGAATATGAATCTTACTTAATCTCTTCTTCATGTTGAATATCAGCTTTGAGTCGTTCAACTCCTGCAGCATTATGAGAATTTGACATATTTAAAAATAATCTGAAATATATTTTATGAAAGATAAATCTTTTAGTTTGATAATACAAATTTATTTTTATTTATAAAAAAAATATTATTTATGCCCAGTAAAGACTAAGATAAGCTTCTTTACGTTGAAGTTTGGTTGTAAGTTTATCATCTGATAATTGAATTTTAGCTGAAGTTCCTGCATGATCATGAATAGAAGAACAATCACGAACTTTTTGAAAAGCTTGAAGATATCTAATGAATAAAAATTTTGTTTGGAATATATAATATCATTTTTGCTTTAAATTCTTACGTTCTCTTATATTTTTCTTGCCATTGCCAATTGAAATTAAAACATTTGGAGCAAAGAACTTCATTTCGATATTGATAATAATCTCCAATAGCTGCTTGCTGACAAACTGCGCACTAAAAAAATAAAAGCATATATAGAAAACAATAGGCTCTCAACTAACCTTATCCGTATTTAATGCCATACATTTTGTTTTAATAGCTGGAATAAGTTTTGCTCGACCACCAAAACTATGAAGCATATGAATTTGACGATTTTGTTTAACATCACATTCATAACTTCCAGGTCTTTAATTTCCGAAAACGAAAAAACATATTGATAATAGATAATAATAATAAAAGAAAATATTCTACCCTGGTACATCAGCACTTCGAGCACGTGCTTTAAATCTTTCTGATATTTCATTAAAAGGTTTAAATGCTCTTTTTTTCTCAGGTATACGTGTTAGATCCATTTGATATGTATCCGGACTTGGATTATTATTCTATATGAATTTAAAAAAAGAAAATGAATAGATTCAATCGTAAATTCTAAATGATAGATAAATCATCAAGCAAAATATTCGTTTGAATCACCTTCACTTCAAAGGTTTTTCGCATTTCTGTACGTGCATTGAAAGTATATCCACGACGACTCATCGGTTGCTGATCAAGTACATATCGAAATGTTGTCTTTTCCTCATTATTATATGAGCCTGGTCCACTATAGATAATAAAGCATTAGATAAAAGCATAAATAGCAAGTAAATAATCATAGATAAGATAGAAATTTACACATTAGGAACGCCTCGTAATGGTGTTTGACCATTTCCAAAGCAATCATGAGCTATATCAGTTGGAAATGTTGGTCTATTAACTGCTGTTGTACCAAATGCAATTTTTGCAGGAGGTTCATCACCTAAGATAAGCAAGCAAAGCAAATCATGCAAAGAATTATTCTAATATATAGATAGATAGTTTTCTAAATTAGCAGAGAAGCTAAATAATTGAAAAAACTAAATCTTACCAAACAGCATTATGATAAACTGATCTGTAAATTATGATATATATTCTATAATATCATACTAGTCAAATAAATCAAATGTGTCGCCTTGACAACAATTATCAAGTTTTTTTATAGATGTCGTTTATAATAATTAATAGAAATAAATTTAAAAAATTGATGTAAATTTATATAAAAAATATTATTAAAAATATTGAATGTATTTCCAAGAATTCGCTCTTAAAGTAAATCATATGTAAAGTCTTTTACTTGGAGAGTTTTTCTGAAATGGCACATTATTTTGTATTTAATTAATCGAGTGGAGAAGAAGAATAGAAATTGTTTTGAGTCGTACTTCTTTTTCTGATGGCTACAAGTCTTTACGCACCGATCCGTACTCGTGATATTATTGGACCACAACCTGGTCAATTTGGCTTGGTAAATAAAATTTTAATAAATATTAAAATCATATTTCTCCTATTTATTATTCTTTAGCTCGAAAAACCCCATCGACCACAAAAAAATCTTGTAACAAAAAATCGAGAAATCGAAGATGTTCGTGAAGGACGTGAAAAATATAATCGAGAAGATAAAATGGAATTAAACAGAATAAATTATGATAAATCAACATCAAATAAAGCTTTTAATGCTCAAGTTCGTCGTGAAGTTCAAAATCGATTAAATCAAGCTGATAATCAACTTGAAGATCGACGTGAACGGTATTTATAAAGTCTAGAAAATGAATATAACTGTCTATTTGAATTTTTAGTTTACGCGAATTACTTGCGACTGAAGATGCACAATATCTTCAAGAAGCAACATCATCACAAGAAACTTTATCTGAACGTATCGGTAAAATGCGTCAAAAAGCCAAACGTTTACGTGAAGAAAAAGAGAGTGAACATGCAAGAGTTGTTCAAGAAAAATATGATCAACGTTTTCGACGTGATTGTGCTGAATTACGTGAACTTCAATCGAAAGAATTAGATCAAGAATTAGGTAGTGAACATTTATGGCAAATGAAAGAAAAATTCGATAGAAAAAAAGATCAAAAAGTAAGAATAATTATTGATTTTATTTTTTAATAAACATCGAAATCATTTTATAGGCAGAAGAAGAATTTTGGACTCAATTATGGTATAATGATATTGCGAAAAAGAAAGAACGTGAAGATCGTGATGCTCAAGAAGCCAAATTAAAAATAGAAAATACGACTAAAATGATACGTGAACAAATGCAAGCTGTGGAAGAAGAACGAAATGAAATGAAAAATAAACGAAAAGAAAATTCCGACGCTGCTGTAAATATTTTTTCTTTCGTAGATTTGATTTTATTCTAAAATTCTTTAGTGGATACAATTTCGTGCTCAAAAAGATGAAAAAATTGCTGAATTTCAAGAAAAATTACGTAAACAAGAAGAACAAAAACGTGTACTTGATACTGTTTTAAAGTAAATTAATCTTTCATAGAAAATAATATGAAACGAATGTTAATTTCTAGTACTAAAAATAAAGTTCAACAACGTCGAGCTGAAGCAGAAAAAGCACTTGAAGATAAACTTACTGAAGAAGGTCAGCAAGCATCTATGAATGAAGAAAATGATAGAAATCAACGAAAGGTTTATCAGTCTCTTCAATAAAAGAATTCAGAAGATTTATTCTTTGTATATTTTTAGTTGGAACTTCGTAATGAAAGTGAACGTTATCGTACTTATGTTGAACAACGTAAATTTGATGAAAAAAAACAACAAGCTGAACTTGATCGTATTGTACAAGAAGAATTAGAAAAACAAAATGCGAAACGTTTAGAAAAAGTACGTGCTGAAAATGAAAAACGTGCTAAACTTCTTCGAGAAGTTGTTGGAGGTCGACAACAGCAATTAGTCGAAAAACGTATGATTCTATAGTTTTATATTTATAAAAGATAATTTTTTTTAACATAATTTAGAGGACAGAAAAGCTCAAGAAGCAAATGAATATCAATGGCAAAAGGATAATCTTAAAAATATATCTGAACAAGTTAAATTAGAAGATGCAGAACGTGAAGCACAAAATAGAACAAAACGACTTGCTTATCGACAAACTTTATTAGGACAAATGAATTATGAACAAAGAAAGAAGCAGGAGGTACAATGAAATATTTACAAAATGTTAAAAAAATACACAAATTTGTTCGAATTTGTTTTTAGGAAGAATATGAAAATCAACGTGAATATGCCGAAGGAATGCAAGCAGAAGTTGAATATCAAAAACGTCTAAATTTTGAACTTCAACAAACAGGTGTAGCTCATCCACATCCAATTCGTCAATGGTATTCAGCTAAAACGTATGTTATTTAAAAATTGATTCATTATTTTCAGTACATATATTTTTTGTTTTACACAGAGGTACACTTTATCATCCAGAAAAACCCGTACTATTCGATAATGATCAAAATCTTCCTCCTCCTCGACGTAATACTGCACAATCACCACAATCTCGTCCTATCTTACCCGTTCCTATTGTGTATCATTAAGAAAAATACTTTATTCTTCTATTTTACACTTCATTGACATTTTATTCGTATTAATTTTGTCTTTTATTTTTTGGCGTATATTATTATTACATATGAGAAATGGAAATCAGTGATTAATAACACGCTTAAAATTAAAATATAAATAAAAAAAAAACATTTCTTGTAAATCATTAGAAACTCTAAGAATAATTCAAATCCTAAAGAAAATTATTTATGTTTTGTACTTTTAAAAAATCGAAATATATCAAATAAAATGCATAATAAGCACTGATTGATATTTATAAGAAGAAGAAGTCCACTTGAGATCACAACAATAGACTCTAATTACATATTACATTTGCTCAAAGGATTCAGAGTGCATTAATATAAGTATACATGTACGTCTTTGATTTTTCATACCATGTACAAATCTTTTGAGGACAACATGCGTAGTAATTTAGGAGCATTGGATTAACCCTCTGTTGACGTTGTGGGCTTCAAGAGGACCCACTTTGCAGCTTTTTACTTAGTTTTCTCTTAATAGTTTTTGTTTCCAATCGGTTCTCACATCCAATTTCTAGTCTTTTGTTGGTATACACTACCCATATGAGAAATCATGAGTAGATCTAACGGAGAAAAAATGCAGCTACGGATCTTTGTGGACCCCATAACAACCATGGTGATATTGCTGCTATTGATTCTCTCGTAGTGATGTTCCCTTTCTAACGATTTGTTTCGATTGGCTGTTGCCTTCGCTACTTATAATAATGACTCACATTTAGTAAAAAGAGCGTGAAGTATGTCATTTTCAAAAGATTCTGCTCAATCCTTATTTGTACTACGGAGCCCTTTTACAGTGTTTTGCATGAAATGCGTTCATATCCTAATAAAACTGAAGCATCTATATGTTTATAATACACAAATGAAAAGCTTTAGTGACGCTAAAACTTTGTTTTTTGATGAACTTTCATGAGCGGGTCCAGATGGACCCCGAAACAACCACGAAGTTCAAAAATGAGAACATACACGAAGGGTTAAATCTTTGCATCATATTAAATAATTACTTTTTTATTTCAATCATTAAAAAATTCTCAAAATAATTCTTGTTGTCACACAAAAAACAAAAATAGTAACTATTATTTTACAATAGATAAAAGAAGTCGTTTGTAATCGCCTGATGTATCTCCACTAACATCTTGAGCTAATGAACGCTTATACAGTTGTTGATATCGTTGTTTAATTTGTGCGAGATCAATCTAATTAATAAACAGATAATTATAACAATTTCTATTCGTATTTTTTAATTTACTTCAGATCGTGTAACGATCACACGAATAAGTGTTGAATCTCGAGTTCCCAAACCTTCAATAGATTTATGGATACGTTCAGCAAAAAACGTGGGTGCATCTCGAATACATGTTATAAGAACAAGATAAGCATCTTTCGCATCACCAGAGAATTCAGATCGAATTACTTGTGTTATATCTTGTCGATGTTTCTATAAAAAAAGATAACAAAATGTCGTTTGTTTTTTAATTCAATCAATAATTTTACGTTTTTGTATTCTTCAAAAACAGCACGAAGTTGATAATAATTACGTCGAGAAAAAATAGCATTAAATGTTTTCTCATCTGTACCCCATTTACCAGCACCAGCTTTATATAAATCATCCGCATCTTGACGTGCACGATTACTTAAAAAGAAAGAATATTAAAACTAGTTTTTTCAAAATATTCCAAATCTTTACCGATCAATAACACTTTCAATACCCGATTGACGAGCTTGTTGAATTTGTTGTGGACTTAATTCTTCTCGATTAGCCTTGACATAACAAATTATTATATTATATATTTAGAATAAATTTTCCTACCTGAATAGCAGATATGAGCATTCGTTTAAAATCAGTTCCACGTACACGACTACTAATTTCTTTTTCAAGATCCTTATTATATGCTATTAAACACACCAAAATATAGATTAATTAAAAGCAATAAGAACTATTTACTTCGTTTATATGCTTCAATAATTTCTCGAATTTCACTATTTGTTCTCGTAAGCAAAACTTCACGTAGTGTTCCTTCTTTACTGACCTATTAGGAAAACAATAAATTAAAATATTATTTCTAAAAAAGACTATGAACATTTAGAGCTTGATGTATTGACCATGCATCAAAATAAGCTGGTGCATCAAATAAAGCATTTATTGTTTCTTTGAAATGTCCACTTAATTCACCACCAAGTTGTTTAATTAAATCCTAAATTACAAAAAAAAGAAACAATCTATTTGATTTGATTATCTATTTAAATTATACATACCACGCCATACATTGATTTATATTGAAGTTTAATTTGTTGACGTTGTGCATTTGATCGGTTAGCAATAATGTCGATTAGAGCACGTTCATTGGTACCTTGAAAATAAAAATGATTAACATTAATTTAAATTCTTTTCAATTACCTGCTCCTCTCATTGCTTGACTTAATGCTTGACAATCAGCTTCCGCATTGAAATTTGCTGCTGGAATAACTGTTCCTTGACGCTGTTCTAAATTGGCAAGTATTGTTGATGGTTGCTCTTGAGGATAAACTGGTTGTTGTTGTTGTTGTTGATATTGAGGTTGATATGACGGAGCCATTGATCCATTCTAAAAAAATTCATTTTTTTATAAAAACTATATAGAGAGCAGAGAATTACTCACGCCATAATTTGGAGGATTTATAGGTGCTGAAATATTTGGATATATTCCACCAAATGATGAAGACGGTGTCTCCGGAGGATAGGGTGCTTGATATTGGGAATTTCCATATCCTTAAATAAGCAGATGATTGATATATATAATTTCGAATAATTAGTTCACACGTACCTCCATATTGTTGAGGTGGTTGATTAAAAGCAGGTGTAGGCATTTGTCCTCCGTATTGTGAAGGTGTCTGATAATCATTACTACCCCCATAACCATATGAACTACCTGGCATTTGATTTGCACCATAAGGTTGTGCTGAATAATTGTTATTAGGCATAGAAGGATTACCTGTTCCATAAAGAGATGCACATGATTGATCGTTGCCATACACGGGTACTGGTGGCGGTGGCATAGATTGGTAACCACTATTTGATAGATGATTTGGATAACCATTATTACCCATACCATACGATGGTGGATAACCACCACTATTTGAATTTCCATAAGGATAGCCACTCATTACGACTTTTTATGTTTTTATAATATTAAAATTGACGACACGTTAACTAGAATAAACGAAATAACGCTGTTTTAAATGTTGTATTGACGACAAGAATGATTCATAGTCATATCTTCTTATCATAGTTTTTATTCATTCATTGACGTCTATACGCGTTGGCATGTGTTGCTTTGTTAGGCAACAAAACAAGGCTGATAAAAATAAGAACAGAATAGTAACTAAATGACGCAGTAAAAAAAAGAAAAAATATTAATATTTTTGTTAAACGTTTTCTATTGAATGCATACGAAAATAAACAAATCTATAGAAAACTGAAATTAAAAATAAATTTATGTGATTGTTTGATAGCAAAAAGATATAGAATATCTAGCTGAGATTAATGAAATCTTGAAATGAAAAGGAAATGTTTCAATGCCAGCGGTAAATATATATTGTTTTGTTCTGTGTGTCTAGTGGGTGTGATGTGTCATCATTCGTTTTATATGGATTAGTGTTTGATTATGGAATAAACAAGCATCTTACAATATATATATATTTGAAGACAAAGATCTGTCTTTTGGTAGTAAATTACAATATAAAGGAGATTATAATTAACTGATTATTTGTGTCTGCAACGTGAAATTCTTTTTTAGGAAAAAATTGATCGATACATCTTCACTAAGTATATTATTATATTTTACTAACCAAACAATAATTAGAAAAAAAATCTTCAGTTGATTCTCACCTTGCTTCAAACTAGATTTTGTTATTGTTTAAGTATTTCGCCTATAAATAGTATCGTACGTTATTTATAGGTTTAAAATCGTCAGAATCTCAAAAATGGGAAAAAAAAACAGCAAAATATTTACATTTCATTGTGCACGCATCTTTGAAGTATGTGATTTATTTTCCCTTGTTAAAACAAATTGTTTTATTCTATACTTGCCGTGATTATTTGTCTTTATGCTACCGTATAAAGTAAGCCTTTTTCTATGTTCTTTCCGTATTTGTCATGTGCATTGAATGTGGAAAACAATCATGCTGTTTCCAACAAACAATGTAATGTTTGTTTTTTATTTATTAAAAATACCCGCATGATAGTCTACTTGAGGGTGGATGTCCGTGTCTAAATATTTTATAATATCTTACAGATTCTTGTTTTTCTTGATCGAGTAGTCAATATTCTTTCATCGTGAACTCTAGGCAAAATTGTTTTTGAGAAGAAAGAAAAAAGAATTGTGCCCGCAGTTCAGGATCAAAAAGAATCTTGACTAATAAGTAATAAAAACAAGAATCTGAAGAGAATGATGTCAAGATTGACGACTAGTGATTCTCAATATAAACAGATTAATAATACTAGTTCAAAAAAATGAAACAGAATAATATCAGTATTAATCTCTTCTGTACGCACACCATCATCTATAATCTTATTTCTTGCAGATGTTTGATATGTGTTCGATTGTACAATTTCAATGATGTATAGAAAACAGATAACAATCAATGTTATAATACAAGTAAATACATGCTTTGAGCTTTCACCAAAATAAACACCATGATCTATTACAATTGTGAGAACTTGTTTATGTCTTCTATCATGTATAATATTGGCTACTCAATAATTACTAACAGTAACACTATAAATACAAATAGCTCAACAATCAAAGTAATATTCAGAACATTCGTTACATAAAAAGTAATCATCGAAACAGAAAGAGTAGCAAAAAATTGGAAGAAGGACAGATTTATTAGCTGTCAACTATTTGTCAGTTGAATATATCACTGTCTTTCTCATCGATTTTTCACGATTCGTCTTGTTTTTTATACATCAGTATAATGAGACTTCCATCATTTCATTGTATACATGTGTTATTTACAAACTCAAATCATTATCAAAGTACATTTATCGCAAAACATGTAGAATTTTATAATACTTCCATATCCCTGTAATAGATCGCATGTCTTTCAGGATAGTAATTCATGGTCAAACATCTTGTATTGATATTTATTAAATCAACATTCTCATAAGATCTGTTTCCATTTAAGGAATATAACTGATATATAAGTATTTTGAGCAAAATTACAAAAAAATATATCATCATCATAGAGGAGTATTATTGTCATATTTTAAATATATCGTGTAACGATATACAATCTAAATATGAATATAGAACTCATGTCAAATGATTAGCAATGTTCATTGTAATAGTTCTTTTTTACCTATATAATGTAATAGGTTGCTTATGATATCATATTGCTGATTAATCTATGTAATATAAGAATATATGAATATTTAACTGCCAACAATAAAATTTCAATTTTCCTATCAAAATTTTATCTTCGTATATACAGCTAACAGTATCTTGATTAAATTTTGGTTTGAAGGTATTCTACACATATCTATTTCTTTTTTCTTCGTCATAGAAAAACAAACAACGTCACACACCTTTTTCGTACTATATTTTCAAAATATTTTCTATCATAAATTTGACAATAGTATGATGTGAAATATTATACTATGATTAAATCTGACATCCTCATTATCTCGACCTGTCCTAATAAAATATTATGAAATAAAAAGAAAAACGAAATATTGAAGATAAGATACGTCGTGAATGATGTATCAAAGACAATATAATTTTATCTGACGTCATAAAAACACTAAATAGTCTAATCATGTACAAAGGATCATTGCATCGAACCATTTCATGGGCTGTTTTATTAAGTGCTCGAGAAATTCATTCAATGTCTACTTGGAAGATTAAAAGTGAACATACATCTTCGGATTGTAGTTCTGTAAGTATTTAACTTTGATATTTGATAAATATATATGAACAAATTTTATATTTCTTCAATAAGCTAAAAGAAATTCAAAAAGACATCAAACAACTATGTATTACTTTCTTTTTCTCTTTCTATCGTGAAATTGACGAAGTATGTCAAGGATTTAGTTTTATTCAACCAAAAAAAACTACTAATGATATGTAATCTATATATATAGATATATATTCATACGCATAAAGTAAATGAAAAATCAACAATCACTAAAGCATAAATAAAATTAGATGTGTATACATCATCGCAAAGTGTTGTCAGTCAATTCATCAATTTCCTTATATACAAGAGAAAAAACGAGGCACAAAGAGGTGAAGGCGACGACGTATAATAAAAATAAATATAACATCGTCTTATCCTACGTAGTTGTTCGAGGTCGACCGATCATGATGGTGTAACTCGAAGCAAAGCACATACTAACTAAAGTATGTCAGCAAGAAGCAGTCGCATTAATCGTTATAAAAGTTATTATGTAAAACGACAAGAAGAAGAAGAAGAATGAGGGGGGGGGCGAGAAAAAAAATTGATGATATTGATCTGATTGCCTTATGAATAGAGAAGTATACTATGAAACTTTATGTTTGAACACATACACCCTATTCGATTCATTTTATATACAGCTGTTTATACGCACGCTTGTTAGACATATATAATCTTTGAGTAAACGACAATATAGATACAGGGACTCTTAGCTTATCTTTTTTTCCTTTTCTTCTTCTTCTTTTTTCTCTGCAATAATGTTTATATGTATCACGCAAGACGACAGTGCCAGCGACGACGATAATGGGTCTGAATATATCCGTCGTTTATCCACATCGTCACTGTTACTACTACCAATAATTTTCTTCGTCGTTTTTTTTTTGCTGAAAATGACACATGCACTCACATGTATACTTACATACATAGAATGCTTATCTCTCATATAGTACTAAGCAGTCGGAAGAAAGAAAAGGAAAAGTAGTGTGCATACATGCCTATATGTATCGTAAGCATATAAAGACGTGATAGAGTGTAAACTCATTTACAATCGTATTGTTCGTATTATCGTCATATATATATTTATATCTATCAAATCAAGTAAGAAATAAAAGACGAGTGAATAAAGATGATTTCATTGTTTGTTCAAAAAATACTTCTATTCGCTCTCTTTCGGGGCACGTCTCGATGGTCAATATGGCAAACTTGAGTATATTGTTCTAATTAGTCGCTCCTCTCAATCTTTCGATCAAAAAAAAAAAGAAGAAAGAAAAAAAAATGAGAAGAATATGAACTATTTTTTCTTCTTCTTTTTCTCTCTCTCTCTCTTTCGCTCCCTGTTCTTCCCTCTTCCTACTTCGTCTTCAACAGGTTTTTTTTCTTCGTTATTCGAAATATGACCAACTGAGCCTGATACATAATAATAATAAATAACGAAACGAGCAGGATTGTAATTTTATCAATGCCACCACAAAAACGACACTTATTTCAGGTTAATCGTCATGTGCAAGCGTCTATAATGCTATTATCAGTCATGGAAGGTGCCGAACTCGATCTCAATAATACAATTTCTTCAACCTCAAAACCAATAACAACTACAACAACAACATCATCATCAACACTATCGACTTCAGATGATTATGATAAAGGTATTTTTTCTTTTTAAAATCAAATAAAATTATATTATATAAATAAAATTTAGATCTTCAATTAGCTGCCGAACTTGGTCGATGTTTACTCGAACGAAATCAAGAATTACAAAACTATATAAATGTTCTACAAAAACAAATTGACGATGAACAATGTGATATAAAAGTAAGAAGATTAGAATAAACATTACACAATATGATCATTTTCTTATTTTAATCGATTTTAAATAACGATATATATACACATGTATATCTATATCTTGTATAATGGATTAACATATATCTCTATTGGGTTTTAGTTATTGCATGTCAAACTTGAATCAACTCGTGAACAACTCGACACGAAATGCAAACAAACTGAAATATTGGATGCAACAAATTTCGATCTGGAGCGAGAACTTGCTCAACAACGACGAGACAATGAAAGAGAACGACAACGTATTAAAGAGTAAGTATTTTTCTATTTCACATATTCATTCAACCATACGACACATTTATAAAGAAGTGTTTTTTTTTATCATATGTACACTCAAATTGTCCATACATGATATGTCTGATCACTTCTTTTTAATAGACGAAAGACAGATACTAATAATCAATCGAATGAAATGATTATTTATAAATTATTATAATTAATCATATAATTTTTTAGGTTATCTGATCTATGTGAAAAGACACGTAAACAATGTCTTGAAATTGAACATGAATACGAAGCATTTCGATTGAAACAATTCGAAACCCATCATTTTCCTAAACAATACAATTCTTCTGTACAAACATCGAAGAAATCAAATAAATTACGACGTTCTCAATCATTTAGTTTAAATTTAGCACATGATTCATCGTTAACGGATGTATCAACATCTTCAAATATCTTTGATATTTCATCGGCATCAATATTTAAAACACATCTTACTGAATTAAAAACACGTATTAAATCATTGACATCCGATTGTTCAACATTAAATGATAAACTTCATCAATCTGAACAAGAAAAACGTTATTTAAATGATCGTATTACACTACTCGAACGGCAACGTCGTGACGATAATGATTCATTTCAACATGAATTAAATCATTGTAGAAAATTATTAGAAAAACATATCAATAATGAAAATTTAAATCCAATATTAACAAATTTTCATTCACCACCTGAACATGAAGTTTCATTATATGATGAAGTTTTATTTGAAAATAAAAAATTAAATAATAAACAATCGTATGAAATGACAAACTATAAAGATTTATTCGCAAGTGTCTATCAAAAATTAAAGATAATTAAAAATGATTCGTAAATTTTTTAAAAATATATTGTACAGACCACAAAAAATTAAAAGCCCATCTGTTTCTTCTCTCTTCTTTCGCGTTCTCTTGACTATTATTTAAATATGAAGTATTTTGTATATGTTTGTTTTATTTCTTATCGACATGAATGTGTGTATTTACAATTCATTCTGTCTTTTATTGTTTATTATAGTTCCTGTTTATATACAGTGTGAATAGTTGTTAAACGTGTGTAACTCACACTGTATTTGTTCGCTACTTTTTTTTTCTTCTAACGAGTATCTATCATATAATGCGTTTGTTCGCAATCTCGTACACATTGTCTTTCTCTATTTTGAGCAGTATAGTTCATGTGTGCGAAGGTTTCTTCTTTTCTTTTCAGCGTTTCTTTTGTTTATTTGGTTTTCTTTTCTTTTTTTTCTCATTGAATAGTTTCGTTATAGTTAATTGTTTTTTTTTAAAACTCTTTGATAACAAAAAAAAAAGAAAATCAGCATTTGCTGTATTATTTAAAAAAACAAGTTCTTCTTTTTTTAGTAATTGATAAAAAAAGAAAATGAATGTTATTTGAGACTTTCGATATTGTCAGACGAAGTAGAGTAATTTGATCGTTTGCATATTTTATTAAAGAAGGATTTTAATCAAATATCTGTCATCAGACATCGAAAACTAGAGTCTTTTTTTACATAGTTTGTAATTGAAGGGTAATCATACATCAATTCAATAAAGTCTCACCATCCGTTTGTTTAGAAAATTTATCTATGTTGATATTTGTACATAAGAAGATTATTAATGTAAGAAGGATAAGGCAGTAATTTCTTCAAATTAGTCTTAAGTAAAGAAGAGCGAAATATTATAGAAATGAATGATGGCTGAAACACTTATATCATCTTCATTTTGATTTTAAGAGATCAGACATGAATTAGACATCGATCAAAATAGCATTAAGCTGATAAGAAATCATTTTATAAGTATCTTGCTCTGTCATAAGATATTATATCATGAAAGGAAGCGAAATCTTATGTAATATTTAGATTTTTCAAGAATTATCAGTACAATTAATCGTTTTGATCATTAATATTCGTACTTACAGGTCAAGATTCTCATAGACAATGAAATGTATCACTCAACTGATATTTTATATTAAACAGGACCATCTATAGTAAAAGTAGATATTATCGTTTTCAAAAGAACAATGAAGGGTTATCAGATACACAACTATAGTGTGTCTAATGTTATAAATAATGTTCGGTCACTATGACCATTGGCTTACAGATGCTAGAATACAACAAGAAGTGTTCTCATAAGTAAAAAAATCATTATTTTGTTAGATTCGCCTAGAGCTATTTTTGATTGCCAATAATAGTAATCAATCTTTTTCTCTTATATTTTCGCTTCATTTGAAATATTAGATAGAAATCAGGGCATCTAAATCAATCAAAAACATTGAATAGCAGTTTCGTCGAGGGTATATATATATATAAATACTCTCAAATTAGTTCACAGAAAATAAAAAAATATCTCACACTATTTTATTGTCGAGTCTTTTTCACACTTTATATATTTGTTGATTCAATTATGTGAGTTTATGATAAGCTTCGGCGATAATACCATTGGCTCACAACTTTATCATCGACAAATAAATAGTTTGATAAGCATATAGATGAAAAGGTAGATGGATATCTTAATGATAATATCTCTGATAAATGTCGTGTGCTGAATCATATTCACACCTCATTGTATATACATAATAGTTATATTGATGTCGTGAATTGAATTACATTTGCATCTAGTTGTGTCTATATAAAATTTGAGTTGTTCTACTTGTTTATCATATCAAAAGAAGAAAAAACAAATGACTATGTATTGGATCTTGTTGTTACAAGTTGTTCTTTTAATCAATAGATTAACAGCATGTACAACACCAACATTTTCAAACTTAACTGTTCAATCGAATTTCAGTTTACATAATTTTCTTGGTATATGGTATGAAATCAAAGCATATATAAATGAAACAAACACTGGATTTGATGTATGGCATGATTTTTCACAATCATTTCAACTAGAGACTAATTCTAGCGAACGTCTTCTTGTTTATGGTAAAGCACGATTAACGCAAGAAGACCAATGTTTTTCATTTGGTCCATGGTTATTAATTGCAAATGATAGTGCTAAAATGATTCAAGTTGAAAAAAACGAACTTACTTATACTACCGATCTCTATTGGCCATACTATATTTTGAAAACGGACTATAATCATTACGCATTAATTTATAGATGTAAGACAAAGAATTATAGACTTAATGATCCATGTGATGATCCAACTGTATGGGTATTTAGTCGTACAAGATCATTATCAAATGAATATGCAAAAGAACTTGATACTTATATTGAAAATATATTATGTATGAATGTAACTAATTTTGAAATAATTTCACATCGAGAAAAATCATGTTATATGAACTCTGTATTAAATTTAAAATTTTATTTAATGAATATTATTCTTTGTTTAATTTTACTTGTTTTTGTATAATTTATTTCTAATATACAAATAAATGAGTCTGACAAAATGGAAGAGAAAGAAAGAAAATGACTTAAATTGTGTATGGATAAGAAAAAATAAGACTATTCTTAATTTACTCATCAACTTTAGTACGAAGTGAATGTGATTCTCGTTTGAGTACCTAAGATAAAATAAAGAAAAAACTGATTAAATTATAATGAAAAAAGAAAGTTATTTTTAATACATTAAGAAGTGTTTGTGAACTTTCAAGAATTTTCATATACGCTGCTTCTGTTTCACTAATTGTACGATCAAATTCTGTTCTTGCAGTTATTTTTTTAGCTAAATTTTCATTTATTCGAGCTAATTTTTCACTTGATAAACGTATTTCATTTTCCAATCTATGTTTATCTTCTTCTTCAATTAATATTTGACGTTGTAATTCATCACGTTTTCCACATAAATCTTCGATACATTTAACTAGTTCATTGTTATAGTTCTGTAATGCAGCACCTTGTTGAGACATGATCTATTGATTGATTGAATCAGAAAGCAAGAAAAATTCAATTCGCATCTTATCATCGACAACTGTCATGTCATTTCCATGACAATACAGACATAGAAAATCATTCGTCCTCTTTCTTTCTATGCATTTGAACAAGTTAGTTAAGCAATAGAACAATGGAATGTATTGGGTAAAATATGGACTAAGACAGATCTTGATTAACGATGACATCGTAAACAAGAAGAAGAAAAAAAAAAGAAAAAGAAAAGTATTTTTTCGTTACAGTTTTTTAGTGCTTGGATCTTATTGTTAGATATGGGATGCTTATTCTCATATTTCTTCCGTCCTTCGGCTAGTGCTGATATTGTTGAAACACCACGTCAAGTATTCTCATGGTAAGAGAAGAATTCATCATAAATCTATACATAGAGATTTATTCTTAGGGAGCGAGAAGATCGACAAGCAATAAAAAAAGAAGATTTTATTCTTGATAAACTTAAAGATCAAACTATTTATCGAATACCAGGTTCAATTAATGGACAACAATTTATTGGTAAGATTCAGAATACATATTCTATTGTCATAATCATTTTTTTTGTTGTTTTAGTGCAAAACTGTGACGTGAGTAACTATCTGTCATATATAAAATATGAAGTTTTCCTATTGATAGAATTGTACCGTTTATGTATTTGATCATACTGGTCAAATACAAATTGATGATTGTACCAATTGTCGAATTTTTATAGGTCCTGTTCATGGAAGGTATCTATGTCAATATATGTCTTGTTAATAAATAAAGACTTTCTTGTTTAGTATTTTTATTCGAGATTCAACCAATTGTGTATTAGCAACAGTGTGTCAACAATTTCGTACTCGAGATTGTCGAGATTTATATGTTTATTTATCTTGTGCTAGTCAACCAATTATTGAATCATCACATAATATTAAATTTGGATGTTTAACATTTAATTATCAAAACTTAGCGGGTAATATTAATCAAGACAAAAAAAACAATTAAATGTAAATAATTATTTAAATTCTAGAACAATACAATGCAGCAGGTATTAGTCCATGGAATAATACTTGGGGAAATATTCATGATTTTACCCAAATACCCGATGGAAAAAATTATTCATTATTGGATCAAGTAAAATTTGAATTAAATTCTTTGTTTTACCAAAATATCCTCTTTTAAATAGAATGAAAATGTATTCAAACATTTACCAATTCCAACAGATCCATCGTGTAGTCATTTGAATATAAATGATAGTATGGATACAAGTGTAACACCATTTACCTATGGAGAATTATATCGAAATCGATACGAAGAAGTAAATAATAGATAAATAAATTTAAATATCATTATTTTTTTTAGCGTTGTTTAATAATATTATTTCATGATTCAAATGCTAGTTCTTGTGCACGTGATTTGATTACCATGACTAACAAATCCGAGGTTTATTCATTTCAAATTTGTTTTTATTCAATCTTTTTTATAAATTTAGCTTGTACTTGTTCAAACAAAATGTTACTCAGTAAATGACATGAGTGCTGAACGATTATTTTCTGGAAATAAAAATTACAATTCATTAGTTACTAAAGGTCCTGTTATCGGACTTGAATTTGCTGGTACGAATTGCATAGAAACATGTCAAGAAATCCTTAAAAATTTAATTACATCAAAGTATCAAAATTTACCACGTATGAATTTTTCACGATAAATATTGAAGGAGAAAAACAAAAATTATTATTTTTAGATTTCATAAGTCAATCAGCAAATGAAGCTCAAGAACAGCTTGATAAATTTTATAATTTTGCAAGCATGCAAATGTTTGCATAGAATTTAACATTCCGTCCGAATCGTTTTTTCTTCTTCTTCTTAATGTGAAATCAAATACTAGAGAATTTTTTTACTGTGCTTCTTAATATTGTAATTGTATTTATGTTGTTTGTTTTCCGTCCATATCTTTAAATGAAAGCAAGGAATGATTTACTAATCATAGAAATGAGAAAAACCGTGAATTTTTAAATTATATATATATATATATAGATCTGTATTTCTTTTGTAGAGTAAATCCTTTCCATGTTAAAAAGATTACTTCCGGTAATGAAAGAATGACAGCAGCAGGTATGACTCCGACGGAAAAAACTAGTTCGCCTGCAAACCAACAACATCTAAATGAAACTCATGGAGATGATTATGAAGATAAAATCGTACAAGAATTTAGTCATCTATTAGAAAAATCAAAACAATTATTTAATGGATTGAGGTAAGATTTTTATGATAATGATATTTCTATTGCACATTTTTTTCTTCTCAGGGATCTTCCACAATATGGTCATAAACAATGGCAACCCTATTTTGGACGTACATTTGATGTATATACGAAATTATGGAAATTTCAACAACAACATCGGTAGAAAAATATATTTTTTGTTTTTTTTGTAATTTTTGTATTGTATAGAGTTCTTCTTGATAAAAAATATGGTTTAAAACGTTGTCAAATAGGTGAAATAGCTTCAAAAATTGGTCAACTTTATTATCATTTTTATATACGTACATCGGAAACAAATTATTTAAATGAAGCTTTTGCTTTTTATTCAGCTATACGTACACGTGCCTATTATTCAAAAGTAAATCGTGAAGAAAAACCTGATTTAATGGTTAAAAAATTACGTTATTATGCACGTTTTATTGTTGTTTGTCTTTTATTGAAAAAAACGAAAATTATGCGTGAATTAGTACGTGAATTAAATCGACAAATTGATGAATATGTTAAAGCATATGATCCAGATGATAGTCTTGAATGGCAACTTGTTCTTAATGAAATTTCATCATTTATCGATGTTGATAATCAATTAAATATTGATCATGTACCAATAACATTATCATATCGTTTAACAAATACAATAATACCACCATTACCAACAGGTTCAGATAAGATTTTATCAACTACACAATTATATACAGTTGAAGAAATACTTATTATTGGAAATTATCAAGATCAAATTAAATTTAGTGAACGTAAATGAAAATACTTTTTTTTTGTGAAGCTAATTTCGATAAGACTTTTTTTTTCTAGTTACAATTGATATGTATCGAATGTTACAAGCTGTTGAAAGACAAGCCATTGAATCTTCAACTTCCTATGATGAAAAAACAACTATTCAATCTCCAGCATCAACTAATCATCAACAACGTGACATTTATGTAAGATGATATGATTGATTATTTTAATTTTATCATGATTATATTAGACAGTTTTTCAATGATAACGTGCTTTCATGTCAAAAAAAAGAAAAGGCATACTATCATGTCATATATAATATAATCATCCATCTCTTTTATATGATTATTTGACTAATTCTAATTTATTAATTAGATGAAAGATTTTTGAAGAACCTATGAGGTCAAATCAAAATTTTGTACAATAAACTCTATTAGGCAGTGGTTTATTCAGCGGGGGGGGGGGGGGCGCGGGGTTTTTTCCCCCCGGGGGGGGGGCCCTCCCCCCCCCCCCCCCCCAGAAGAGAGAGTTTTGCCCTCCCGGCAGTTAATTTCGCACCCTCGGACGAAAAAAGCTAGATAAAACACTGATGTTAGGAAAAGAAAGAAACATTGTTAATCGACATTGAACACTAAATTAGATCGGTAACTTCATTATCAAGATCGATGATCATTTTGCATGATTGATTCAATATATATGTTGATCACGTACACATTTATACTATCATGGATGATCTGTTCTCAGATCTACTACTTGATGAATATATTGAACTGTCGCTTGTAATAATTTTTATAAAATCAAATTAGTCTTAATAGAATTAAATTCTTTTTATCTGTATACATGAAATTTCCTTATTTAGAATGTCTATGATGGTGATTTTCAAAATCGACCAAATCCTCATAAATATCTTCTATATAAACCAACATTCAGTCAAATTTATGCTTTTACAGCTTCGGCATTTAAAGAATTATCACAACATGGTACTTTACTTCTTTATATATCTGCTGATGGTTATGATACACATTTAAAAAGTAAAGTTGAACAATCTTATGATTTCGGTGGTGTTAAAACAAATAATCGTCGTGATGATACAATTGATAGTCCAAATTCTCCATCAACATCCGCAACAAATACATTAGCAAAAAAATCTTCACCATCAAATACGAACACATCATCAACAGCAATAACATCAACACCAACAGGATCAATTAAAGATGCTCATAATATATTTCCAGGAGATCTTTATCCATTCTTACGTAAACCATTATTTTTAATAATCGATAGTAATAATAGTATTACATTTCAAAATATGCCAAATTTATTTGGTCAACCATTCGTATCATTACTATCACCTATTAAATTACCTGCAGTATTTCATGGTAAGAAAAAATCTAATCTAATCTTGAAGATTCTATTTTTGTTTTTAAAATAGATTATCAAAATAAAGGAAGTTTATTTACATTATTTTTAACATCACCTATGTTCGCATTCTGTTTTGTATGTCATTTAAATGATTTAACAAATGAACAATGGGTTTTATGTCAAGAACATATCAATAAAATTATTTTTGAAATAACAAAAATTTTCTTAAAATCAAAACTTGTTGGTAAGAATTTGTGTTTTGTTTGAAAATACAAAATATTTTATTTATTTTTTTATAGATAGTACAATTTATCATTTTATTGGAGATGAATTTTTACGTTTATTTCTTGCGCGTTTTGTTTTTTGCTATGCTGTACTTCGTTTACATCGAGCATTTAAGGTAATTTTCATTTCTTTTATTTAAATAATAACAAATTCGTTTTTTTTTAGGGTTCTGGTTTTTATCCATCATCACAACCTCAATTATCTAATGATCTTCTTGAAAATGTTCAAGTACATAAAATGATTCTTGAATTATCAGCATTATTAAACGTTCGACAATTATTTCTCGAAGGTCCACTTACAACTGCTGATTTAATATCATCAAATCAATAAATACGATATTCTAGTCATTTAGATTTCAAGATAAATTATATAAAAAAATAAAATAAAATCTCATTTTTTTCTTCTCTTATTTAGTCTTCCGACGTCTTATGTAATTAAAATACTTTCTATATGTTTTATTTGTTTGTGTGCAATGGTATTATCTATTCTTAATGTAGTCCGCTCTTTTTATATATATAAATATTTAATCGTGTTTGCTGTGTGCAAATATTTCTCTTTGTCTTCTTTGTGAACGAAGTCTTTTGTGTATGAAACTTCTCGTTTTTCTTTTCTGCATAAAGATACTTATAGTCATAAATAAAAATTGATAATTCGCAGAAATATCGAAAAATAATTTAATGATAAAATCAGCTAATGCAATCATTTATTTTATTTATTCTTCTATGAATATAATTAATCAACATATATTATTAATTTTGTTCATAGATGAAAAGTAATAGTAGATTAGAATTATTGATGAATAAAGAAAATTAGTTTTAATTATGTATGTATAGAATTATTAAAAAAAAGAAATTCTAATGAAGGCACCGGATTACGGTTGATAAGATTTTTGTTTTTAATATTGAACAGTCTGTCCACGTAAAACGTAATTCTGTCACGTCTTAGTTTTTCATTATAAAGAAACGACTCAGTGTTGAGGATTAAATTCATTGACGATTTTGAAGTACCAGTCGTACTCTCTATAATAAGAGACTGCAAAGCTCTCTCGAATCTTCAGTCAATCTAAAAAACGTGATGAAATCACAACTGATTACGTTGAGTATATTAAAGATAACAAAAATAGTATAAATATTAGACTTGTTCATTGTAGTTCATGCTGAAATCATTCTGATTTTTTAACACGTGTCAAGTACAAAATTCATAACTCTTTAAAATAATCACGCGGCTAGAGTTCATCGTAATAGTGTAGTTGTGACATTTACATTATAATGAATGATGGTCTTTGATTGATATATGTATCCGGAAAGTAATAACTGTCATATGAAAATTATAAATGTGAGAAGAAATTCATCGTAGAGGAATTCCTGTTTGAAATCTAAGTAATGGAAGCTTACTACTATATATAATGGAAAAGAAAGAAATATTATATAAGAAGAAGAAGAATAGAATAGAGAGAACTATACTCAACTATTTCAAGACCAAGTCTATCTTACAATGAAATTGAAAATATGGTTCAACTACTCTTCAATTATGAATGAAGATCTTTCTCCAGATAATCCTCTCTTCTGGAGTCAACCAACGCCTATCAGTTGTGATATTGTTCGGATTGTTGGTATATTCTTATGTATTGCAGCTGTTTTTGGCATTCTTTTAAATGGAGCTCTTGTCTACAGTTTTATTCGATATAAAGCTCTTCGTCGATCATCGAATATATATGTTATGTTTATTGCAATTATAGGTCTTATTGCATCATGTACAATTTTACCATTAACCGGCATATCATCAGTTTATTGTAAATGGTTATACAAACGTATAGGATGTCAAATGAGTGCTGCTTTGGCATTCATATATGGATGTTCAAGTTCTTATCTTCTTTGTGTAGTAAGTCTTAGTCGATGTTATATTATTATACGACCATTAAATGCTAATACTGTTACTGTAAGTAATAAATTTATCGATAAATAAGAATAAGAAGAATATTGAATGTATATAGGTTACAAAATCTATTATTATATCATGCTTTGCAGTACTTCTTGCCTTCATATGGGCTATGTTACCAATTTTTGGATGGAATGAATATATTATGGAAGTTAGTTTTAAAATTTCTATATTAAAAATAAAATTTTAATGTATAATTTATAGGGAGCTCGTACATCATGTTGCATAAATTGGTACGATCGACGACTCTCATATGTTTCATTTACATATTTTCTTTTCGTTTTTGTATATTTTATTCCACTTGTTATCCTTATTGTATCCAATACAATTACTTTAATTGGTCTTAAACGTATGCGTGAAAAAATAAAGCATGGTGTTAATACACCATTGAGTCGAAAACGAATTGAAATGGAACGACGTATTATTAAAAGTAAGAAAATTCTTATATAGAATATTTACTTACAATTATCTTTTATTGTAGGTATTATTATCACAACATGTGGTTTTATTTTCACTTGGTCGCCGTATGCTGCTGCCTTGTTTGTTTCAGCCTTTCAAGGCAAAGATTATGCAATACCACCATTAGCTACTTTTTTATGTGCTTGCTTTGCTAAATCATCAATTATATGGATTCCATTACTTCATATTGGAACATCTACTCAATTTCAATTCCATTTTGTTAATTTAACTACAGTGAACAATCAAGTGGAATCTAATAAAATGGAAAATGAAGTACTACAAACACCTCTTATGACTCATATTAACGATGGTTCAGTAATTGTTCGCACAGCTACTCTACTTGCCAAGAAATCAGAATTTTAAGCAATAAACATCAATATGTATTTCTTGATTTTTTTTAAGAAATAATATACCTTCTTCTTTATGAAATAAAAGTCAATATCATATTATATTAAATTGATAAATGAATAAAAAAAAGAATGAAATATGTCAAAGTATCAAAGATAGCATGTTGTAATAGAATTCCGTTATCATTACGATCCATGTAAAGATTAGATAATGAAACATAAATATACATTGTTCTGAAGTCGATCATAATTCATTTTATCAATATCGAAAGTTCTAGTTTAGATTTATTGTAATCTTCTATCATTCGTTCTTCTAATAATAAATCTCATATTGCACAATAAAAAGGTATTCTGCGAAAAGTTACGCAGTTTTTTTTATCTGATTTCACTCAAGGAATATATTGAATATAAAGTATTATTAAAGCAGTTATCTTGATAGATGTTTGAAACCTTTCTTTCGTTTTATGATATTACTATATTGTTAACCAGACAACATCTTGGATATATATGTGATATTAAGAAAAACAATTCTCTATTCAAAATATTTTCGTGACGACAATGAATGGTAGTTGCATTCATTCAAACAGTAGTTTATGACATGACAAAATTATGTTTTTCAAAGATGTACCCATTCTTTTTTCTATAATCATCATACTACTATCAGCACTCAAGTATGAACTGAATTATTCATAATAGGCACTTATTTAAGTGCTAAGCAAATTTAAATGAAAACTAAGTAAAAAATTCTATTTTTGCTAAGTAATTTATATAAATTCTAAGTGAAAACATTTAGTTTTCTCGGTAAAATATTGAGAAATGCTAAGTAAATAAATAGTTTTTGCGAAGTAAAAAATTAATTTTTGTTAAGTAATAAATCTAGAATATATAAATAAAAAATTTGATTGAACCGTTAATCGCTTAGTAATGCCATAGTTGCTTTTGAGTCTGAGTGTGGTACAAATACAATACTCACACTCACCCACCCTCGAAAATTACTATTGTCTATATATATAAAACTTGTATCAGATTAGTAACATCGCATAGTCGGTTGGATAAGACTGAATATCAGTATACTTGGATCTAGACATGACCCAGCCCAAACTCAAATCTAAACTGCTTAGGAGTTTGAGTTCGGGTATGTGAATTTGGGTTTGGATTTGGGTCTTCTTTTAATTGCGTCAATGTGTCCAAAATAGTTTCTTCTACAGATTAAAAAAGCGCAAACCCAAACTGTTTGAGAGTTTGAGTACTAAACCCAGACCCAAACTCAAACAGTTTGGATTTGAGTCATGCCTACTTGGATTGCACAGGTTATATATAGAGGAGTGGATCGTATATTCTTGTGAAATGTGCATGAATTGATCAAGATAGAGCGGCTGGAATAAATCTCAACAGACATAATATACATATGAAAAGAAGAGAGTAGAAAATAAAGAAGGGAAAAGCCTAACATATGTGATGGACAGGAACAAAAAAATCCAAGGATATGTGATATGTGTACAAAGAGACGAACACAAGAGAACGAACGGAAAATAATGACTTGCCCGCCATTTGTCATTACTTATGAAATTTACTTTTTTTACCTGCTAAAGTATTGTTTTTACTTGGTAAAATGTGTTTTTTACCGACGAATTCAATATATTTATCTAGTAATTACAATTTTAACATATATATTAATTAATATACTTAGAAAAAATTTAATTATCGAGAAATATGTTTTTAAATGAGCATTCAATAAATGTATTGAACATTCAATTTATTTACCGAGAATATACCAATTTTACTTAGCAAAAATCAACTTAGCATTTATATATTTTTACTTAGCACTTAAATAGGTGCCTTCATAATATATATGTCAACCTTACTTTGATTTTATTGATAAAATTAACCCATAAACAAGTCAATGTATATAAAAAAACAGTACTTCTGTTATTTTATAATATCATCAATTCACCTGAAGATTAGACAAACTTTCACTATCAAGTTGTTTAACACTTGTATTTAATACCTTATCAACAAGATGCTATATTTAACAATATATTTGCATACCATAATATTATCTGGCATGAAATACAATAAGTAATGTACTTTTAATCGTTTCGTTGATGTTTAAGATTGCGAAATTGTCCTTTTTTTTCAATGACTGTCACAAAACAATTGACTCATTATTATTGAGGGTGTAGATGTCAGTAAAGACGATGACATGGGTGTTGGTATCAGTGTGGGTGATGGTATGGGTGTGGATAAGGGTCCAAGTAGTGTGAGTGAGGATGTGGATGGATGTTCATTATTTATCCACAACCACCCTCACGATATTTAAATATTTCATTTTTAAGTCTACACTTTTTCCACATTAGTTGATCTTTATGCTCCATATTTGTTCAAAAATTTAATAAAATATTACTGATTGTTCAATAGGTTGAAGAATTTTAAATTACGATAGTGTCATCTTATTTTTAGTTACAACGAAATTAATGACGTAATCTGAAAGTAATCTATATGCGTAAATCACAGTATTCTTTATGATGGGAAATGACGACTTTTTAATAGATTATACATATAAAAATAGCAAATCAATTCAAGTTTTCTATTATGTAGCTCATAAAAATAAAAAAAAAGGAAAATTTTTGAAACACACTTTATAATCAAATAGACTTTCCAAAAAATGTGAGTCACCCTTTCTTTGAGTGTTATGGTTATTTCCGTTTTATAAATATATAGACATAATTCGTTGGAAATTTCGCATGTATCTGGCTACAAATGTAAAGGAAGTAAAATAATATTACATAAGAATAGTCATACTGAAAGTATACCATCACTTTCACAAAAATTTGCAATTTCGTATTTCTGCACTCACACAATACAACAGCGGTATAAGGTAGGTACAATAGGCTTTTTCTTATGGGACTATTTTTAAAATCATTCGAAATATATATCATAGTTTCATGAATGAATTTGTTTGAAGTAGTAGTTACGATTATTGATATCTCTAAAGTTTATGATCTATTAAAGATCACCTTGAATAATAATACGTTTCATATATAACGCTGAAATAAAGTATTTGTAATAGATAAGAATTTCGAGAACATTTATTGTTTGAAAATAGTCTCTTTTTTTGTATATGATTAGGTAAAGAATATAGTTTATTCATCGTTAACACAAAAAATACCAATAATTTTATATAATACAAGATTATTTTTATTTTAAAATTTTTAAATTTAAGAATTTTCTTTATTCTTTATTATCTGAATAAAAGTTAAATGACAGATTAGAATTATATTTAGTACGCTTAATAAGTATTTTTTTTTCTTAATTGGAATATTTCTTACTATTATATTAGTTCTTTCTAAACGAAAAATATATATTTAAAATGTATTCTTTTTAGTTTATTAAATTAAGGTTTTATCAACCCAGACAGGCAAAACTCAAAAAAAATGGAAAAATACGGCGTAAAAATTTTGAAATTTTAACGAAAATAAAATCGAGAAAAGCGCACATTTTTACGATTTTTATCTCCGTTAGCTTTGTCTACTGTGATTAACGCGTCGATAATCTGTGTTTAAAGCGTTAAAACTCACAAAATGACGTGTAAAACCACGTTGAATTCCGCGTTTCAACGAGTAACTACGGAGTAGATTTTAATACAGTAAAATGCTTTCCAAAAAATTGCGTAGAAACGCGTTAAGAATTCGTAAAAACGTCGTTTTTACGTTTCTGATACGTAAAAACGGTGTATGTACGAATTTTAAACGCGTTTTTACGCGTTTTTTAGAGGTCTTGTCTGTCTGGGAAATAGTATATGCAATATAAATATCAATAAAGATAAAAATGACCAAGTAATATTCGTATACCTTACTGTTTTTCTAAACACATTTAAAAATATTTTATATGTATATAAATAATAAATAACTGCCGACCGGGTTTTATCATTTTGTTGTTTTTCAAGATACAAAAATATCCGATTTAGGTTGTATTTTTTCTAATCGTCTCTTTATTTTTGACACTACTCGAGAATGAGTCACATTCTACGTAGTCGTTGTATTGCACTCTATATTTGCTTTTTTTTCCATTCTTTTTAAAGAACGAAAAAGAAAAAAGACCGTAGTTGGAAAATTCCAAGTAATAGTGAGAAAATTTCAATTCTGTAACAGAAAGAATAATGTCATATTTTCCAACTTATATGTGTTGAAAAGAAAGGATCGGAATGAAACCTATCGTTGTAGCAACAATGAAGAGCAGAAAGTATATTAATTTAGTCTGTAGTATAATTAGCATTCGTATAGTTAAATCTCATTCATAGAGAAACAATGAAATAATCGTAATCAATCAAAAATGACTTCCAATGTATGTATCTTCGTCAAACTAATATTTGGATTATTTGTTTTATTTAGGTTCAGTTTTATTATAATCGATTATCTTCATTACATTTATGGATTCAGTACAATTGGCCAATCACGTGGTGAGTAGATGATGCACTGAAATAATATAATATAGTTATAGAAGAATACGAAGGACTGATATTTGTACTTTTACCATCTATACTTCATCCTCACGAAGGTTATTAGAATGAGTAATAAATGAGAATACGCTTGATAAATGCAAACGCAATTTTAGAGTTCAATGCAGGATTGTTACGTACATATATTTCAGTGAAACAGTGGCGGAGTTAGGATTTTGGAAGGGGGAGGCGATTTTGGCTAAAAGCTATTTTTTGAGTCCAATCGAAGTAGTGTGAACCTATTTTTTCATTCATTTTTGCTGTAAAAATCAATTACAAATTCAGAAGGAGGAGGGGTGATCACCCCCCCCCCCTAAATCCGCTACTGCAGTGAAATAAAAAGTGCAATTTAATCGTATGAAGTAAACCAAAGTCTATCCAGTCGCAATTTACACATTAGTATAATTTGTACTTGCCTGATTCTGCAGTAAGTAGATTTGTCTACAAATTATATACTGAGTATTTCACCTCTAGAAGCATAAGATACAGAAAAAAATAGAATGATAGCAAGTATTTCG